GTGCGGCCGCGGCCGGGACGGGGCGCGAGGCGCTGAGGGCTGAGCCGTTTGCTCCTGTTTGTGCCGCACTCCCTACGTGTCCCAGAGTCGGGCCTTGCCTTCTGAGAATGCCCTCTGCTGCGGCTAAATGCGACCGAGGAATCTCAGGTCTCTTGACATAACGAAGCTCCTGTGTATAAGAATTAGCAACTGAGGAGAAAGATCCTTCAAAATCTATGTTTCTCCACTGGGGAAATGCCTCATTAGGCCCACTGTTTACTACAAGGATAGACTGAAAGGAGAGGTGAATTACAAACGTTATTTTGCTCACTTTATTACAGAAAAGGGAGTGTAAAACGTGGCTATCTATGATAAAAAATGGGATCAGTGGCAGCTTTCAGTTTGGACATGCTGTCTGAGAGGGATACGGGTCTCAGCTGACACATCAGGCTGCAAAGCATCACCTGCACGGAGCCTCAGGTAGCAGCAGATGTGTTGGTGCTGCACAGCAAAACAAGTACTGCTGTGAAGGAGTAAAACTGAAATAAACCAGACTTGGCTCTGTGTTCTCCCACCAGGCACTGTCTGACCAGAACAGCTTTTGTGTTGAGTGTTTGAATCTTCACCCCAGGAGCAGCCTCAGCCCAGCTATGTGGGATGCGCCTGTGTCATCCTCTGAAGGCTTCTCAGTGTGCAGGGCAGCACAGCTCTGCAGTAACAGACCTGCCAAAGAAACAGGAAAATCGCTGCAAACTATTAATTAATGTGTTAATTAATGTATTAATCCCTGTGTTGTCAGTGGGAACGGTTCACTTCCTACTGATTAACACTGCACAGTAATCAGGGAATCACAGAATGGTTTTGAAGGACCTTTAAGCTCATCTCATTCCAACCCTTGCCATGGGCAGCTACACCTTCCACTAGCCCAGGTTGCTCCAAACTCCATCCAACCTGGTCTTGAACATATCCAGGGATGGAGCAGCCACAGCTTCTCTGGGCAATCTGTGCCAGTGCCTGAGCACCCTCACAGGGAACAATTCCTTCCTAATATCCCATCTAACCCTGCCCTCTCAGTGTGAAGCCAGTTCCTCTTGTCCTTGTCCAAAGTTTCTCCCCATCTTCCTTGTAGCTCCTTCAGGTACTGGAAGGGACAGTTAGGTCACCCCAAAGCTTCTCCAGGCTGAACAATCCCAGCTCTCTCAGCCTTTCCTCACAGCAGAGCTGCTCCATCCCCCTAATCATCCTGGTGCCTCCTGTGGACTGGCTCCAACAGCTCTATGTCCTTCCTGTGCTGAGGCCCCAGACCTGGATGCAGCATTTCAGCTTGGATCTCACCAGAGCAGAGATCTCTTCACACAAACCACCTTCGGATTCCTTTGCAGACTGTCCATAAGTCGCACAGTAATTACCACATTAATTACAAGCTATGTTTATTGAAAACAAGGTAAAAATCACTGCACTGGACAATACAGGTGAGAGCTCTGTTTCCCCTGGACATACAACACCCCAACTCTAGCCAGCAGAGCAATGACACAGCTCCCCTGCCTCACAGCCAAGCCCATTCCTTCTCTTCAATTGAAGTTTCAAATGCTGCAGCCATGATAACAAAGCACTTTACCCCGAAACAGCAAGTTAGAAATCACTTCTTAAGCTCTAGCTTAATAATATTTGCTTACACAACTCATGTCTTTGCTCTCCCTCCCTCCATCCCTTATTGCCAGGTTTGGTTTTGTTCTTTTTTTCACTTCACAAGCACTTGATTCTTCCTTGGTACAAAATGTATCCAAAACAAAGGCAAAAGACTTGAACATCTTGCTGTGGAAATGCTTAAAGTTGTTGTCACTTTGCCTCTTCACTGTCCAGGGCCTGAGAGGCTCTTGTTCATGAACTGTCTCTTCACAAAGCAGATCCACCACTGCAGGGGGAAGAACAGAGTCAGGAAATATGTAAAAGCGTGATGAATTAAACTGTGACGTCTAAGTATTCAACCTCTAACAAACAACAAATGTTCAGGCTCAGTTTTCCACATAGTTTCTACGTCACTTTGCCTCTTCACTGTCCAGGGCCTGAGAGGCTCTTGTTCATGAACTGTCTCTTCACAAAGCAGATCCACCACTGCAGGGGGAAGAACAGAGTCAGGAAATATGTAAAAGCGTGATGAATTAAACTGTGACGTCTAAGTATTCAACCTCTAACAAACAACAAATGTTCAGGCTCAGTTTTCCACATAGTTTCTACTTTAGGTGAATTTTTTAGGAATGGACATTATGAATTCATAAAAGAGGACTTTTGAGTTAAAGTGGGAAATTCTACTTTCTCTTATTTCTCTTACTTTATTTCTATTCTATTTTACCCCAATATGATTATAAAGAAGATGCACCAGGAAGCTGAGCCTTTGAAACTAAATTACCCTTGATCATTTCTATATTAGCTGCAGCCACATTTGCACATGGAACACATGAGCAGTCAGAAGGCAAACCTATCCATTGATTAGCTTGTTTTTAATCTGGATAGGAGGCAAAACAATCTACTTCAAACCAGCTATGAACTAAGAGCTGCCTGCAAAGAGAAACAGCATCTCTCGTGCCTGTGAGCTCCCATGTGCAAACCCAGCCCAGAGCAGATGTGCAGAGCTTTGAAGGGCTGAACCAGACACCACTTAGCACTGCTCTGCTTTTTGAAGTAATCCAAACTGCTGTTTGCTGTCACACCCACTACAGATTAATTTATTGACAACTTCCAGCTGCCACTTCACTGCAAAACCAGTGAGACTTGGATGAAGTTCACCTGAGCCTCACCCCATCACCTCATTTCTGAACCAACACCCAACCCTCATGAACTCTGTGGTTATCACTGAGCTCTTACCTTGCTTGGTTTGTCACTCTGAGGATCAAACACCTTTTCACAGAGGCGAAGGCCAGTTTCTTGCCTCAGCTGCTGCAGGTAGGCCCTCATCACCTCTGAAAGCAGCAAGGGAAACCATGGTAAACTGGGGGAGCACCAAGTCAAACTGGGCAAGCCTCAGATATCACTGCTCAAAGCAGAGAGTGGGTTTCACATCTGCGAGTACTTGCCAAGTGGCTCAGTTGGTTTGCTCAACTTAGAATGATATTTGGGATTTTAATAATATTTACACTAGCAAAAAAGATCATCCAAATTGTTTTCTACTCTCAGTTACCTTTGCTGATTATTGTGGGCTTCCTGTTCTGGCCTGGGCTCCTTTACAGGATTTAACTAGTGATTGTCTTGATGCAAAAGGCATTCTCAGACCCTATTCATTTGTTCGGTTAGATCTATGGATCCAAGGGAGTCACTGTGCCCTCAAGGTCAGAAAATCCAAAGTCTGCTGACAGACCACAGACTTAGAAGATTCAGTTTTATCACTAATTCTCCTAATTGCAGTCACAAAAATGCAGCTAAGAAAGTCTGAGCCCAGAGAAGGCCTCAGAGGTGCTGCATCAGCCTTACCTTCCTCCTGCTTGTTGGCAGGTTTGGCATAAATGGCATTGAGTGGAAAGCCAGGCTCCCCTGGGATTGGAAAGTTAGTGATCCCCAGGGTGTACATCTCTTTCTCTCCTTGGCCTTTGGAGTTACACTGCAAGAACCAGACAAACAATGGATTAGCAAACAAAAGCATTAGACTCAAATGCTTTTTGACACGTAAAAACTCAAGAAGAACAACACAACAAGTCTTTGGTGATCCATAGCCTTGGAGTGTCTGTGGCTCTGAGGTGAACAGGATTATTTGTGCCACTGGGAGGAGAATATCAGGAAATCCTTTCCTGAGTACAATCCCCAGAACAGACTCAACAGCCACAGACCCAAAGTGTGAGTTCT